TCGCCAAAAACACCGCCCCGAGCCAACACCCCCAACCCAGCACCGCCATAAGGGGATCCAGAACCCGTCTCGTGAACCGAAACGGAACCGTAGGAGTAACCCCATCCAGCGCGGCAGCAAGATGTGTCCCGAACAACAAAGCACATAGACTCAGCGAAACCGTACTAAGAATCACAGCAACCAGAGCCATGAAACTATACCCCCCATTCCTCGACACAATATTTCCCTCAGAGGAAGGATTCGGCAAATCATTCGTTAACGCGAGAAACACATCGCGAATAAACGACGAGAAGGATGTAAAACACCCGCAGAACCCCGTCGTGAGACCGATATACAGCGGGATGGTTTTCTTGATGGTTTTATGCTGTTTTGCGTGCTCGGCGGCATCACTTGTGTTATTGTTATTGGGGGTAGTGGTACCCCATTCCTCGCGAAACAGCCTCCGATCCTCCTGGAAGAACCCCATCAGCAGGGAGCCGCCGACATTGGCCCAGAGGACGCCGGTGACTATAGGGGCACCCGGGTAGAAGGTTAGGGCTTGCAGGCCGAGACGGGCGAGGGTGCCGAAGATGGCGAAGAAGATTAGGTAGGAGATGGTGTAGAATTGGGTGAGTTTGTGGGAGATGGGGTGGAGGGTGGGTTCGGAGGGTTGCGCTTGGGGTGCGGATTCGAGTGGTGGTGAGGGGGGTTTCTCGTTCATGGTGGTGTTGTTGGTCGCGACGGCGGCGGCGGCGGCGTTTGATGATGCGCTTGGGTCTGCGGGTGCGGGGGCGCCATTGGGGGTGCTGGATGTGGGCAGTGACATGGTGAGGGCTGCGGTTGTTGTTGTTGGGGTGTTAGCGCATTGTGATGGTGTGGTGGGGTGTGGTGGATTGGTGGTGTAGAAGCAATTCTGTTCTAGCTAGTAGTCGAGGGATGAAATGATGGTGTTTATCGGAGATAAAAAGTTGGTTGGTGGATCCTCCCTCCTCCCGCTCGGCATTCTTTCCGATGTAACTTGGTACTTTGGGCAGACTACTACTTAGTGTATACACTACAGTCTAGTCAAGGTACTCTACGAGATTCACTTGGAATCGCAATGAGCATACATACTCGGAATCAACTATTCACTAGCACAAACGCGCTCACACTGGGAGTCAGCCGATTCCCGGACCGTTACATCCAACCAAGGGGGCATCGGAGAGCTCCAATTCAAGTCGGTGCATGAGAGGAATAAAGCAGATTCAAGTCATGAACTTTTCATCACTGGAGCCATCATTGTACTGTGTAGGTGCATAGAAAAAAGGTGGTATCACAGGGAAGAGAGATGCACCAGGTTGGATTCAGCAAACAATCCAGGTATCCAATTCCAGCCCAACCGCCAGCCAGTCAAACAAGAGAAACGCCATTCATCCGCCGCACAAGATAAGGAAAATAGTGGCATCAAGGAGCGGTCAAGCTGCAGATTGCAGAACTAAATGCGATACAGTGACCAATATGAACAAAAAGGAAACAGATTGTAAAGAAGGGAAATCAATCCTCATTTACTAAGTGAAGGACTGTCTTTCGTCAGACTGGCTAAATAGCACCAGGCAGTGACTTGCTCGCACGGCGCCGAGCGCTGATAGCAAGCACCACTAAGCCTTCTCCATTCCTGTCATAGAGACATCTTGAGGGGACGGCTCCTGAATCGGGGCCTTGATATCCGCCGGGTAAGGCTCGTCCTGCTCTCGGGGTGGAGCTTCGATCGGCGCTTTGCCCTCTGAGCGCTTCCGACCCAACTTTTCACACCAATGCTCAGCGCTGACCAGGGTGTCGTTGACTACGCCGCTGACCTGCGACATCATATCCAAGCCCTCCTGGGCCAAGACGAGGATCCGATGGGCGCTAACGGTGGCGTCGGATGCCGCCGCCATGGAGTCCGGCGGCGGGTTGGAGGTAGATGCGATCTGGAACCGATGCGGCAGTGAGGTCAGATGCCGGCGGACCAAGTTCCGCGCATTCTCCGGGAGCGCTCCCCCAGCATATTTCGAGACAATGTCCACCACGCGTTTCAGCGTCGCGAGCACGTCCGCCTTGACGGCCTGGATCCGATTTGAGAGGAGGGTAGTGCTGGAAGCGTCCTGCTCTGCAGTAGAGTCACCATTCTGCTGTCTCGAGCTATCCCATTCTTTCAGGGCGGCCTTGAGAGCCTCGATCGCTTTGTCCAGCCGTCCATTTGCCCAGCGTAGCCAGGTTAGACAATACTGCAGGCTGCGGAGCGATTCCTCACTCATCGCCACGCCCAGGCCGGATGTTGAGATCATCAGTCGGCTCTGCCATGTAGACGGAGTCTGCCGCGATGGACTGTCTCGACCGATGTCGTCATAATTGGGAGACCTCTGATCATCGTAGGGTGGAGGACCCTCTCCCGGCGACAGCCTCATCGCCAGCTCTGGACCCTTCTCTACGTCGACCTCCGTAGACTGTTGCTCGTTGCTCACCTTACGGCGTTTAGAGCGACTAGACTGGGCGGACGAGGATACCCGACGCTGTAAAGCCCACCGAAGGCCACTTTCCACGCCAGTCTTCCGACCTACAGTGCCAACTGTGTTGGCGACGGGAGAGCCAATGTTGCGCTCGAGGAATTCGGCGCTTGACTTGAAACGAGGAGAATAGGATTTGGAATTGGTATATGCCGACACCGAGCCGTTGATAGCGGACGAGATGAGGGGATGGGTGGAGGTGAGAAGAGATAGCAACGGCTCTGGTTGCTGCTTGGATTCGGGGCGGTTCATTTGCGACGTTCGCGGTGATTGACCGTAGTCTAATACCATCAACCGTTAAAACTCGACCGGGACAGGCCAAGAGCAAGGAACGAAAAGGACATACCAGTGCGAAGGCCCTCCAGGGCTTGGGCGGCTTCGATATCATCCATGGATAGCACACTGGTGGCTCGACGTGAACGGTCGTCCGCTACGGTAGAGTGATCGACGTCCATCATGGGGGGAGGGACATGATGAAAAGGGGGATAGGCAGTGGGAGGGGCGGAGTCAGATGAGGAGTCGGCTGTTGAGGGTGAGGCCGTAGATAGCGCTGAAGTATGAGGAGGGCCAGTGGGCGCAGGGACGGCGTCTGGGCGCGCAGAGAGGGAGGTTTTCGGGACCGACCTGCCGTTGGAGCGGTGGTCTATGGCTGCCCGGAGGCCCGAAAAAGGAAAGAGGGTAAATGGATGGAGCCTGAAATTGGCTCTAGTGGGAGTAAGGGGAGAATCAGAATTGAGGAGTAAGACCGGATGGCAATGGGCGTGGGAGGAGGGACGAAGATCCCTTGTCGGAAGTTGTTCTGGGTTGCGATGGGATAATTGATTGCTGCTTTCTGGCTGAGGTTGGGGCACTTTCACGTGCAATCAATCCCGCACTGGGAAATTCTTCCCCCGCGCAGTTTGCTTAGTTAGTACTTTCTTTCCTCCACTTACTTACTCCGTCACTGAGTAGTAGTTGTTAGTACTGAGGGTTTCAATTTATTCCATTCCTTACTGACTACCAGAGTATTACAACATTGTCATACTGTCTTTCACATCCACATGTACCTCTTACGATCAAATGTTTGTCCGCCACTTGCCAGAGGTTTTCCTCGTCACATGCGCGCGACTCGGAAGTCGGCCGTGGATTTTCACGTTCAGCCCATGAATCATGACTCGTCTCACCATCTGATCGTGGAAACTACTGAATCCGATCCTGCTCGGCGCCTAATTACTCCATTGTACCAAGCAGCATAAGAGAATCACTAATAACTTTGAACTCTTTTCCGCCTTCACAACCCAATTCGATCGCTCTGACATGTGATGCCGCGTCATATTGCGCCGCCCCACCGCCTGCCTTCCTGGCGCCTTCCACATGACTCCTGCAAGATTTAGTTGACCACTTATCCTGACTCTTTCCATTTCTTGTCCATGGATTACTCAGCCCCTAACATACACCTGTCGACCATAGTATTACGGCTGTTTATGTCGGCAAGTGATTGATCATTCAAGTGCCAGCCACTGATATGGATTATTACAATTGCCAGCAGTCTCACTCATTCCCTTTTCAGAGTGTTGCGTCGCCAACATCTTGGCACGTGATCATAGACCGTCTTCCGGCCGAGTGAACTCTTAGCCGCATGATCCTATGTGATGCACAAGTTGCTACGATTATGCTTTGCGTCTGAGGTGTATCCCACGCTGAAGCCGGGGGTGCTTTAGATATTGATTCTATGACTGAAAATCACGGAAAGCAGTGGTTTTCACAGTTTCCAGGTTTCATCTTCCACCCAATAATCAGTTATTGATAGAGGTTACAAATTACACATCAGCCAAAGTCCCTAGCCAGATGGGGGACGGGAAAACAGATGGGTTGATCTGATCACTAAGGTAATCCAGGTTATTAATATCAGATGTTTGGTACTTTTGCAACAGTAGTCCCAGCGGACCGTGCATCGTGTTTAAAACGAAACCAAATTCCTGCCTGGGTGTCAGAGGTCTGGACTGGTGGATTGGTTCTCACAGTCCGTGGGGGTGTTTCAAGTGCATATGATGAGAAAGTACCTAGAGTGCGGAGAAAATTGGTTGCGTTTGGGGGTACACCTGAGGTGTAATTTCCCATGCCTGACAGTGAATGGGAATAACTCTCTACTTACTTGTGTTCTGGTGTTGAAGGCAAAGCCTAGTCTAGAATGAAGACTTGAGGATGTAAGACATTAGACAACTAATTTTACTGTGTCAATCAGAGACCCGCTATGTGACTGTTATCAATCTATTAAAAGCGGAGCATGAGTCACATGGCTGCCAGTCACCTGATCCGGCAGCGCCGATGCCGCATGAGATACAGCAGAAAGTCAACAGTTCCCAATCTTGGATCTGCACCTTTCTGCTCCCAACGTCAATTCCAGCTGCCTGATCATCTAATTGATCTTCAGGTCCCTTCGCTGGCGTCGCCTGTATTTACCTCTCTCATCCTCTATCCGTTTCCCCATCTCCCAATCCCAATTCCTTCAATCCGATGGCGTTCGCACGTCTCGCCGCCCGGCGCTTGCCCGTCGCCCGTCGGCTCGTCCCCAGCATTGACTCACTGCCTCAGCAGCGATTCTTCTCCATCTCGCAACATGTGAAGTCTCAGAACAAAGCTGCTGTGCCCAACCCCGATCCTGCCGCTGACTCCGTATCCGTGGCTTTCGTCAATGATCAATCTCCCTACATGTTGCCGACCTACGTGCGGCCGGCGCCGGTCATGGTCAAGGGCCAGGGATGTTACTTGTGGGATATGGAGAATCGGAAATACCTGGACTTGACGGCTGGTATTGCGGTCAACTCTCTGGGTCACTGTGACCCCGAGGTGGCCCAGATTATCGCTGAGCAAGCCGAGATGCTTGTCCACGCCTCGAACCTCTACTACAATGCGTGGACCGGAGCTCTCAGCAAGCTCTTGATCGACGTTACTAAGGAATCCGGTGCCATGCGCGATGCCTCCCAGGTCTTCATCTGTAACTCCGGTACCGAGGCCAACGAGGCCGCCATCAAGTTTGCTCGCAAGGTCGGTCGTTCGCTCGACCCCTCCGGCGCAAAGCACGAAGTCGTCTCCTTCCACAACTCCTTCCATGGTCGCACCATGGGCGCTCTGTCCGCAACCCCGAACCCCAAGTACCAGACTCCCTTCTCTCCTATGCTGCCTGGCTTCAAGTACGGCAACTACAATGATGTGGCTCAGCTCGAGACTCTCGTTACCGAGAAGACCTGTGGTGTGATCGTCGAGCCCATCCAGGGTGAGGGAGGTATCAATGTGGCTACCCCCGAATTCCTCGTCGCTCTGCGCAAGCGCTGTGACGAGGTTGGTGCCGTTTTGATCTTCGACGAGATTCAGTGCGGTCTTTCCCGGACCGGCTCCTTCTGGGCTCACGCCCACCCGTCTCTGGCACCTGCTTCTGGCGAGGCAGCTCACCCCGACATCCTGACTTCTGCCAAGGCCCTGGGTAACGGTATTCCTATTGGTGCCACTATTGTCTCTGAGAAGGCCGTGGCCAAACACATCAAGCCCGGTGACCACGGTACCACCTATGGTGGTAACCCCCTGGTGTGCCGTGTCGCCCACCACATTGTCAACCGTCTGGCGGACCCCGAGCTGCAGAAGTCTGTTGAGACCAAGGGAGACCTGCTTGTGTCTGGATTCAAGGATCTCCAGAAGAAGTACCCCAACGTCATCTCGGAGATCCGTGGACGCGGATTGATCCGTGGTGTCCAGCTCTCCCCGGAGTTTGTCTCCAAGGCCGGCGATTTGGTTGGTGCTGCCCGGGAGCGCGGCATGCTGATCATCACGGCAGGTGAGGGCTGCATCCGCTTCGTTCCTCCCTTGACCATTACCGAGGAGCAGATCAAGTCCGGCCTCAAGATTCTGGAGCAGGCTCTGGAAGCCGTGGTTGCTCAGGCTTAAATCGGTGCGCAAGTGTCCCTAAAACGATCTACAACTAAAAGTTAATTACCGCTTCTCGGTCTGTGCATATATTCTACTTGTGACGTGACATGCTTCATGCTATTGGATCCCGGGACATTTATATCTGTGTTGTTTCTTATTTTGATACCTGCTACATTGGTATATAGACGGCGGGATAGAACTTAGAATTGACGATGAATTTAAGCTACAGACTGATCGGGTAGATATTTTACGATGAATTACTCACCATCTCGCGGTTTAACTACACATATGAGGGCACCGATAATTTGTGACCGCGTCCGAACAAGGGTACTTCACCATTCGTGGCGATGCCACAACTAGGCCCTCACAAGCTAAGCAGCGAGGCCGACTGCAACCTGAAAGGACATGCATGCTTCTCACGCACTCTCTCCGGACTAATAGCTGCTGGCCGTACCCTCCTTAAAAGGAACCACTTGTGACATGGTCTTCAACACCTTGGCTTTGAGATAAGGTCAATTTGACAGCTTCTGGACAACATTGCATGTCACGTTCCTGTCATTATTGTTTACGGAGATTGCTCTACAGGCAACTAATCACTGACATCTGGGCAGTTGATGCCTATTACGAAGACATCGCAAAAAGCACAGACTTCTGTCAGTGCATCTAGTATTGAAAGCCTATCGTTCATTCTCCCAACTTCTGATATATAATTTAAGGTGATTTAGTTCATTCAAAGGTAACACTACATGGGCTGCTGAATCACGACACAACTAAGATACATGGAGAACAAATGAGCCGCTGAAAGTAAACACATCCGCCCGATCATCAACGCGCATTATCCAAGACAGCGAAGGAAGAAGCCGAACATATCATAATACAAACGATGCAATAACTTTGACTGACCACCATATACACCCAATTCTTTACAACCGATGCATCGCTCCATGAGAGCAATACATTCCCGCCGCAACAGATCCCATATGGACAGGACGTCCATTGCTGCACATCGACCAGCTAGTACCCTCGGGGCCACAGATGATAGCACCGTCGACGCAAGGCTTGCCAGGGACGTACCGGGCACTCTCATCATTATCGGCACCAGCAACAGTGGCATCGTTCTCAGAGTGGGCAACCGCCGTTGGGACGGTCGCAACGCGTGCAGCCTCAGTTCCAAACGACGAGGCAACCACCTTAGCGGACGAGGATGCCGCGGGTGTACTGCCAACAACTTGAGCGGCAACGTGGGAGGTAGAAACAGTCGGCCTGGACCCAGTCGGCTTGGGGGTAGACACAGGGGCATCCTTGACAGAGCTAGAGCTTGAGCCAGAGCTACCACTTGAGCCACTGTTACCCGCATCCAAGAAAGGCGCATCACCAGTGCAAGTAAACCCGGCATTGGTGTTGTTGATGCTGCCCTCAACCGACGGTCCCGGCAGGGGGAATTTGACATCGTAGTTCTCGATGGTCGTGCACTGTCCGGGCCCATTAACATTGGCGATGAAGATTGGCGGCAGCGAACTAAACGCATCTCGCTTCCGCATCTCCTCCACGTCCCTCTTCTTACTACCACCGTCCCCAATAGTAACCTGCGCACAGTTCATATACATCTCCCGGTTCCCGACCTTATTGAACCACGTCCAAGTGAGCAGCGCATCGCCTGTCGGTGCATCTGACGGGATCGTGAACTCGTACGATTCCGTGAGCGGACATCCGCCCAGCATAGAGTGAATCACCTGGAAGGATTTCCCTGTGTCGTACGACAGCGAAATCTGGCATGACCCGCCGTCGTGCGTCGCGCTGCCTTGGAGGTCCATCTCGTAGGTGCCGCCGGGACTGTATGTCGCTACCGAGCGGAAGGGGTCATTGGCATAGCCTTTGCAGGGGTAGTCGCTGCCGCTGGAGTCGAGGGGGTTCGTGTATGAGTAGTCCTTTTTGGATTCATCACCGTTTGGGTCGAGAGGACTGCGGATCGGGTAGGGGTTGGACATTTGGATGTGTGCTGAGACGCTTGAGGCCAGGAGGCCGTAGGCGAGGAGAGCGGATTTCATTTTGATGTCTTCACTGTTCAATAATTGTATAAGAAGTTCCTAGGATCGTCTATCCAGGGATATATAGGATATAATTATGTCTCGAGCTAGACAAAAGCAAAGACAATTAATGCATGATGAAGCAGATACAGAAAAAACACCACCGTCTTTATACCCTCAGCAGCGCCACTATCACCCCCCAACCAGCAACCAAACTCTCCCCAAGGTATGCACACAGCCCACCGATAACCACCCATCCCCCGGGGTGACGATGCATTCCAACATATCCCCCAGGTGAATAATAAGCCTTGACATGACCGTCGTCGTACTCGCCGTCGTGGCTCATGGCAACAACAACAGCCAAACTTTTCACCGATCCAACCCTTCTATCTATTTCCCACTTCACAGTGAGTGAAAACTTTTTCTTCAAGAATGAAGGGATCCCCTGTTTCAAGGTTGTCCGCGGGTTACTAGTCTATCAACTGGGCAACAACAATAGGTATGTCCGGAATGTTGCCCCCGTCGGCTCTGGCATTCCACAACGTCCCGCGCCCATTAGCAACGTATGGATGGATGAATGGATGGATACCCTGTCAGCCGAAAGAAAGTCTGTTGACGGGAATTTTTGTCAGTCGGATGGATTTAGGAAATGTGATTGGGTAGGTTCTGATCAGGAGGCAAGTAAGTACTACTATCGTTAGTAGGGGTGGGTACCTGCGTGGCAACTGGCAAGGTTTGCGAGGACAGGGAATTAGGAATGGGATGGGATTGTCTTCAGGGAGGTACGTACGTACTAGGTGGTCGGTCGTCCTAGGAACAAACTTGGGTGGGGTGGAGGGGATTAGTTAATGCGGCTGTTCGAAATTCTATACTATTGTTAGAGGGGGGTTTAAAAATCAAGTTTATTTTGGTTGATTGACTTTCTGGGGATATGGCTGGGTATCTGGCTTATAAGCAGTTACACGTCATGGCTTCGTTGTCTACCGTGATAGTAGTGCATTACCTTAAATATTCCTTTGGTATTATGTGATCTATTTACTTTTTGTTTCCCCATACACCCATGACTCAATAACGCTCATTCATAATTCATGCACGGCTGAGGGACTCGCCCTCCTCGGCCTTCTGGAGACCGTACTTCTTCAGACTGTTTGACGGAGGATGTTAGCTTATCTTTCTAGCTGGAACGAACCAAGGAGTGGGTCATACCGGATAGTCTGGATGGCAACGAAACCGGTGGTGTCGGTGGGCTCAAAGTCGTCCAGGGAGTCCATGGAGGCCTCCTGCTCGGAGTAGAGCTTCTCGGTGCTGGAGGAGCGACCGAGGATGTAGACGTGGCCCTTGTAGCAGCGGAGACGGACCTCACCGTTGACGCGCTGTTAAGTTTGTTAGATAATAGCGTCGAGCTATTTGGTTTACGGGCACTTACGCGCTGGGAGAACTTGAGACTGTTCTCGATGAACTCACGCTCAGGGCTGAAGTAGCTGTGGAAGGGTTAGAACATATGTTGTATAGTCCAAGACTGTGAAACACGTACTATCCGTTGTAGAGCTGGATGGACCAGTTGTGGGTGACGAACTGGTCACGCAGAGCGCGGACCTGGCCGTCCAGGACCAGACCCTCGAGGTCAAGGTGGGCATCGCGGAGGATGGTCATGGCGGGGGCTGCAACATGTTAGCAAGTCCTAAGTGGAAATGCAGTGCGGAGTGCAAGACACATACAGTCGTAGCAGCCCCGGCTCTTGAGACCGATGAAACGGTTCTCGACAATGTCAATACGGCCAACACCGTGGGTGAAACCGATCTTGTTGAGGGTGTAGAAAAGCTCAACGGGGTCGGTGTACTCCTTCTCGGGAGTGACAAGCTTGGTGGGAACACCCTGCTCGAAGTGGATGGTGAGATCGGTGGGCTCGTTGGGAGCGGTCATAGGGTCGGCGGTCATGGTCCACATGTCAGCGGGGGGAGTGTGGTTGGGGTCCTCCAGGACACCTATTGACTGGTCAGTACAATGATAGGGCAAACTACTCCCACTGGTTCACTTACCGGCCTCGTAACTGCAGTGGGCAGAGTTGGCGTCTATGGCATTAATTAGTACGCTTCGAAGCAATTACACGCAGAAAAGAAATTAGACGAACCCATGGACCAGGGCTTGGCCTATATCATATTGGATTAGCCTGTATTCGATTAAAGTGTATAGACACCACTCACCTTGGTGGAAGTAACGGGGATGCCGGTCTGGGCGGCGTAGTCAAGCAGATCGTTGCGACCAGCGAAACGCTTGAAGAACTTAGGGTCACGCCAGGGGGCAATGACCTTGATGGAGGGCTGAATGGCGTAGAAGGCAAGTTCGAAACGGACCTGGTCGTTACCCTTGCCGGTGGCACCGTGGGAGACGAACTGGCAGCCTTCACGCTGAGCAGCGCGCATCTGAGCGCGGGCAATCACGGGGCGAGCCAAGCTGGTACCGAGAAGGTAGCGACCCTCGTAGATGGCATTGCACTCTGCGATGTGAAATTAGCGGACGGATCGGGGCACGTAGCCGGACTAGCAGTCTTACGGATGGCGGGGAAGCAAAGCTCGGTGATGAATTCACGGCGCAAGTCCTCGATGATCATCTTCTTCGCACCGATCTTGAGAGCCTTGGCCTCGACGGCGGCCCAGTCCTCCTCCTGGCCGACATTGCCGAGGAAGCAGACGACATCGTAGCCCTCCTCTGTGAGCGATTGTTAGTCGAGTCGATCGAAATTCGACCGGAAATAGGAAGAAAAATGTACCGATGAGCCAGCGCAGAATGCAGCTGGTGTCAAGACCGCCTGCAATGGAAAATGTCAAGTTAGTGCACCGAGCCTTATCAAGACCGCCGCAATATTGCGGGGTCGGGCGGGCGAGAACATACCGGAGTAGGCCAGACAGACACGGGGCTTTTCAGAGGCCATTGTGATTGTGTGAAGGGGATTGGTAGGGGGAAGCGGATAGACCGGCGGAAGAAGTAGTTGTTGGGCAGCAAAGAAGGATGAAAGAAGAGACTTGGGAAAGAAAAAAGATCGCTGGGGAAGATCAGTTTTCGCGATGGCTCATTCAGGCGGTCGATGCAGGTCGTTGACTCATCCGGAGTCGGAGCTAGCGCCTTACGTAACGATTTTATCGACGAGCCAATCAGCGACTGTGGATCGCCCTGCATCGATAGGGAAGTCATTATCGCTTCGTCCGATAAGTAATCTCCGTGAATAATGACTCACTACAATACTGGGGGTAACCATGCTTGCTGTGAGTCCTGGATAGCATTGGAGGGGGCAATTCCAATAGCTAGATAATACCTCTCTCCAGTCTTCATACATTGACCAGAATCAGTACCTTTTGACATGCAAAGAACAGGACAGTAGAGGGGACATCTCCGTAGTCACGTGCATCATTTCCCCGACGGCTAATACAAGCCCTCCGATATGGATCCGGGGAAGGGCACTGGTTCCTGATTTTGTGTGAACTCCCACAAAGTCAGTTCTTGTGTATTGTTGAGCGCATATGAATATCTGCGAGCTAAGCAGAACAGAAACAATTAATGTTCGAATATCCTGTCGGCTTATTTTGCTGCTCAACTTATTCACTTCAGTGGAACAGAGAAAGGATCGCACGCTCTGAAGTAATTATATGTTTTGCACTTGAAGCCAAACTGAATTCTTGATCTTAATTGACCACCATCACTTTAGTAGTTCCTTTTCTAGAGTGCGTACTGAGCAACAAGGCTATGATCGGCCAGTGGAGCATTATATGAACTACTAGTATTAGTACTTTTAATTGACTATCGCCTGTCTCTAGAGTAGACCTAGTGAGCTATTACTTGTCTGTCAAGGTGCTCCAATTGCTTCAATTCCCGCTTCGCAGTTCTGCATATTTCCAGCTGACATTACAATCAGATAAAGTATGATTATACATTCTGTTAGCTGTTGACGGTTATACCAGCTCGGTCTTGCTATTAGTTCGGTTTTGTCTCTAAACCCTAATATTCAAGCATCGATTGGGCGCAATACTAAAAGCTCTGAGAGTAGCCAAGGTTGTCTAGAGCTTCCTTAATACCCCACTACTGCAGCTAAGAATAGATAGTAGTACGAATAGCTTTCCCTAGGAAATCAAAGTGGCGCTGAAGCAATTTCGCAGAACGAACATCAATGGCCAGGTCATCTATCGATCGTTTCAGACGAGTGACGCCCTGCTTTCGCTGTAGAGTAGATGTTACTGATTGCCACCGAGAGGAATTGAGAACAAGTCTAAGTGTAAAATAATTACTTGTCAGATAGCTTTAGGTTGAAAAATTAATCTCTGGACTAGGGCAATGAGTCACACCTGGCCGTAGAGACACTGCGGGCCCATATATCCCGTCAGGAGTGGTTACCGGACGATCGTTATAGCCTAGTTCGTCTAGAGTAACACCACCCAACTGAAACAACCTATCTTTTCTCTTTTGGACTAGAGAGCACTTCAGTCTGTCATTTACATTTAATGCACTTCGAATCATCTAGAAAGTGCAGAGGTTGTTGTGTTTATGAGGCTGTAGACACCTTTAAGTCTAAAGACTTGTTCAAATGATATGTAGGTAAGTAGCTTAGGCGCTGATCTGATTCAACAGTTCTCCCATATACACTAGTGCTATACGATATAAGGTGCTCACTCACTTTATATTTATTAAACTCAGGACTCTTGAAAGTTCTGGATAGGAGACTTGCAGAAAGCTTGATCAAGATATGTAAATGGCTGCTATAATGTTCCCACTTCCCTGACCGACATCCTTTGGAACATCTCAAAATAATGCAGCTATCATAATCTACGTACTTACTACCTTCATTATAATGCTGTGCAATTTCTAGCCCCAGTTAGAAGCATCTTCTGCTTATGCCGTGAGTTGGCAGTATTATGCACATGTTATGTAATCAGCGCTAAGTCCCGATTAGCTGAGCCGGCCGGACTTCTTCCCAAGTATTAACCTTCTTTCTTTGCTCCTCAAGCAGCATTCTCAAGATGGCGTATCTCAGATCTTCTGCGTTCAAGTCCCTGCTGAGGACTCGGGCATCCCCCCTATGCCCCCAGCAAAGGCGCTGGGCCCAAGTGCACGATGTCCGTTTCCTCGCCACACACCACGATCCCAACCAAGTGCTGGACAGGTACCGCTCGAAACTCAAGCAGAAAGCCCAAGCGTGAGTCGACCGCGACAACAGTCATGACCAGCTCACTCACTCCTTTCACCATAGAGAGGGACACCAAGACATCGATTCTCTGAAGGAGGCCTACAAGGAGAAGATTGAAGAGTTCCGTCACAAAGCAACAACTCCTCTCACTCCAGAGCCGCCCAAGCCCTCGCCCTCCCCGTCCACGACCGGTCCTTCACCCCCTCCTCCTCCACCTACTCCTCAGGCTCGCGCCGCCTCCTCCGCCACATCGACTGGAATCAGGCCTCTTGACTCGTTCATCGATGTCGAGAAAGTGCGCAGCCTGCCGCCCAAGGAAATCGAGGCCATCTGGCGTCTTCGTTTTGCCAACAACTCTCATTCGGTCTGCGCCGTAATTCCGGTAGAAACATACCAGCGCATCGTCTCCGCCGCACGCCAGAACCCCCAATTCGTTCTTCCTCTACCCCGTACACAGAGTGAGGCGCAGACCGCGGAGGAGAACGCAGAAGCCGCCAAGGGCGGTGCGGACATTCATTTCCTCCAATGGGGTTTCCATCCTCCAGCGTCCCCGACCGCTTCTCCCGCTGCTTCGGCCAACGACCACACTTCCACGATCATTTTCACAGCGTTGGCTTCGTATCAGCTGCATGGCTCGTATGCGCAGCCGCATACGACGGTCACGCATTATCTGGATCTGGCGGATGAGAAGGGCCTGGTTCTGATGAATGGCCAGGTGATGCCTGATTCCGGAGTATCTGCGACAGATGCCACCTGGCTGGTTAGCTGTGTTCAGCGATTCTATGACTTTGGGGGTCAGGCGAATGGTCGGAAAGGCGAGCTTCTGCAGGCGTTCACCCGCGGTGACGTGCAGAACTTCAAGGTTGAGGACTTGATGGCAGAGGCCGAGAAGTTGTAAGGGTCCCAGTAGTATTGTAAATAGATAGATTGTACGATATACGTTTTACCAATACGCAGCCTTTTCCGCGCGGGTATTTAGCTTATAATTAGCCTCGAGGTTGATGAGTGTTGGGGGTCAAGCTATCCACACCCCACAGCATTCCTGGGGAGATAATGAGGAAGATGATGCAGCAGCTGATGTGAGAGTGACTGGCTGTCGCCGGTCCGCCAATCAATCGGGCTTACTACTACTTAGTGCTTAGTTCTTTCCTCTTTAAAGCCCCCCTGCTTTTCACAGCCTTGTCCTCCCTAGTGTCCAATCAGATGCATGGTGTCATTCCACTTGCACTCCGCACTGAGTCAGTAAATGCTTCGTCGCAGAGCCTTGTCTCCTAGACTGAGGCACTATAATAGTACTTCACATCTGCCCTGACTTCCCCATCTGATTTCAGTTTCGAGCGATAACTCTATAAGGCCCCAAATCTTAGGAAAATATTAACTCATTCTTCTGTACAGTTCCCACATAACTTTCACTGGAATTATCTTTTTAGCTTCAACTGCTCGCTCGGTTTCTCGACCACTCACTATGATGAGAGATGCAGTAAGCTTGGATGAATGGCGTCTTATCTTTGAGCAGTGCACCACTCAGGATCTGTTCCACCTCTGCTTGGTCGACAAGATCTTCAACTCGATCGCGACACCCGTTTTGTATCGATCTATCTCCCTGGTGGCTTATCAGAATCTCTCTGGCTCCCGTCGGTTGTCCAAGTCTACAAAAGCGAAAACGGAACCAGAATTGCCTACAGGCCCTTGGCTTCTATTATCTCGACTGGAAGCCGACGAAAATGGCACCTTACGAGCTTGGGTACAGGAAATCAATATTTCGAGTCCTTCTGCTTGGGCAGACGAGGACTTCCTAGAACGACTTCAGAGCAATGAATGCTTGGCCACACTGATTGCCCGTCTGCCAAACCTTCGACGGATCACCATCGGCTTTCCCAGTATTCAATCGACAACATTGATTCGCACCATCTATGAGCATAAAAGGAAGCCGGAACTTCTCCTACTCAACCAGTATAGCGAGGAGATCAACTCTAGCTTAGCGGGGCAGACTCTACCCCGTGTCACGACTCTCTCTGCATCAGTGAACCCGGCAAATGACCGAAACAGGCCAAATAGGCAGATACCCACGTTACAAAATTTGTTTTTCAAATGCCCATATCTCCGGTCGTTCTCGCTTACTGTCACGAGACAATATGGTGGTTGTGTTATAAGGATGCCAAGGCATCCTGTTATATGGAGCTTTCAGCTTACAGGCGAAGAAACATTCCCTCCACTCGAGCATCTTTCCCTCGACGGATACCCGATGGACGATCAGCAATGGAGGTTTTGGCGTGATGGGCTTCAGTGGGACAAGCTGGTGTCACTAGCCGTAGGACCACAGAGGTGCGCTGGCTTGTTTCGATGTCTAGTTGGCTTTACCAGATCACTAAAGATCCTTGAAGTGTCTGTCTGGGAAGGCGAAGGCGATCGTGAGCGAGAGGAACTCATCGAACTCCTCTCATCATTTGATTCTCTGGAAACCCTAGTTTTAAAAGGGTACAAGTGTCCGATTGAGGCGATTTTTCATCACAGTAACCTATCTACTCTTTGTCTGCATGAAGAAGAATCTTCCTCCAAGGCGCGTCCGCGACAAGTCCTAACAGCGGAGGAGCTCAGTCAGCTCGATGCTAACTGTCCCAAACTGAAGTCACTTCAAGTCGGAGTCAAGAGAGAGAACGATCAATGGGTAAGCCAATGTATCCTCTGTCTTATACTATCACATGAACCGAGATCTAACCACACCATAGCCCGACGACGTCTTCGACAAACTAGCAACCGGTTTCCACAACCTCAGGAGCCTATCTGTGCACTTTGAACTGGGCCTCCCCGACATACATAACCCCATCAAGCCTTTTATAAATTATGCCTCTGTGAGGAGCATCGGCCAGAACTACTTTGACCGTAGAAAGCAGGCGGGCATTGAAGTATTCGAATCGTTCACCTTGACCGTCTGGACAGGTAAATACTTCCGTCGTTTCCCACAATGGCCACCAGTGTACGCCGGTTTCGAGAAGAAATTCTCAGCGACTTACCAGATATCCTTACCGAGTGTTTCCTCCGGTGAGGTCCAAGTCCGCCATTTGGAGAAAGAGCGATTGGACCTGATTCAGTCCAAGAAGATCAAAGTCCATTCGTATGAGAGGTTGCAGCTTGCTAAACAGGTTGCTGCAGCCGCGGAAGGACCAAAGGTCGAGGATTGCTCGGAGTGAGGAAGCCTTTTTTGTTGTTATGCTGGTCGTAGCGCTGGGGGTATTGCCTAGCATATGTTGTTGATAATGTATACGTGTTTGTGCTGGTATGGAATGTCGCAGTGCATTTGTCGTTATGGTACATCAGATATCTTTTTCAGTCGGAGTTGTTTTGTTCATGCTAATAAGCTACTGTGACATACAATATCCACATGCATTATGTGAAGGAAAGACAATCACGCTTGAAATTATCCCTAATAACAGTAACTAGCACCGCATTGTCCGTAAAGCCCCCCCGCCGGGAGACAATTTTGTGATATTGTGTTGCATGCAGGCAAGGGCATAATACCTCTGTAGTTTACATAGACACAGTCCAAGTTAACTTATACCAACGTATAGTATTCATATGCTATTTTGCAAACATAACCTATTTACAAACCATGCTCCCTCACACCCACCCCACCAACCAACCCCCTAATAACCCCTCACGAAGAAAACGCCGTCTCAATCTCAAAGCTAACATCATTATTGAACGACGTCTTCGAATCAAACGTCTGCACACCACCATTGCTAGCAGCATACAGAACATTGTCATAATGCCTGAAATACCTCGTCGGGTAACTCCACGAGCGCAACGAAGTACCCTCACCATTCAGCGCAGCCTGGGGACAGAAAGTAGCATCCTCGTGGAACTGCTTCGTGCCATCATTGGCATTAAGCAACAACTCAAAGTTATAATGCCGGATATAGCTGCCAGGGGTATCGACCGACTCAAACGAGAAGCACTGGCTATTAGCCAACCCGGTCACAACCGTCCAACTAGCCTCCTCCTTCAACGTCGTGGAACTATCATCATCCACAACCTGCGTGTTCACAGTAGTATCAGTATGCGCGATATACCTGGTCGTGTACCCAGGGGTCGTGACACGCAGTGAAACAACCTCTCCGGAGGTAAACGAAGGACCGCTAACCAGCGAGCCGACGACGTATTTAGCAGCGACGATGTTCTCCTGGACGGAGTTCTCGGTATCATCCGAGGGATATCCGGAGGTCATAACACCCTCGTAGAAGGTACCCTGGGCGCCGTTACTGTTATCACCACCAATACCCAGGATGATAGCACCCTCCTTGCTCATGGGATTATAGCCGGAGTAATCCGGACGGGCACCGCTATAGTACGTGGACAGAGAGCCCGAGGCAGCATTTGCGCCGCGAATAGCCCACTTATCGGCGCCGCCCTTGACCGCGGCAGTAACGAAGCGGTAAGAGATAGACGGATCACCGGAGTTATATCCCTCGTCGGCACCAGAGAAGAGGTTGTTCTCCATGTCGACCATGATCCAGGGCCCATCGCCGGCACCGTAGCCCCAGGTGGTGCTGTTAC